ATAAGATTTTTTGTGCAACTTTAATTTCAAATTTGGAGTTGTATGGGAGAATGACATATAAAGTTGATTTTGGTCACTACTCACTAGTTGATTTTGATGTTGCAAATGGATTTTCCATAACATGTGATCTAGTTTTTGTTGAGTTTTTTCATAAGGTTGTTCTTTAGCTATCAAAATAACATAAGTTAATTTAGTTGGTGGTAGAAAATATCAGAAGTGATTATAAAATAGAAATAGTTTATAAATATATTTGACGAGAATTGATCCACCGGTTGAATCATCGGGTCACCGGTTGAACCACTAACTCGTTGCATTGTCCGGGTCAGGTATGATAACTATGGGTTGAACAATTCTATTTTTCGATTTTGAAAGAGTCTCCTCCACTCTTACACTGATGTAACGAAATATGGTGCTGACATGTAGTAGCGTTGTGTAAATGAAAAGAAGTAAAAGAGAAATTAATCAAATGAATACAAAATTGGATTGTATACAATTAATGAGCTGTCTCCGATGAATACAAAATTAGATTTCCACTAATTAATATATATAAAATAAATTCAAAAGTTAAGTTTGATATGGTTCTGGTTGTTGGTTCTATAACTAGAATTGAACCAAAATCAAAATCAGAATCCGAACTAGAATCATTAATTTTATTTGTAAAATCGAACTGATCGGCTTGGTTAAGTTCGGTTCTAATTCAGTTTGGTTTGGTCTGTACATTTTTGTCCATCCCTAAATAGCATTATTCTTAAACATTTTAAAATTCGTTCGACAATATTTTTGCTTTTGGTAGAGATTATTGTGGAAGTTGTTTCCTGTTAATTTTCTTTTAAAACTCTTATAGTCAAAGAAAGTACTTGCAGAAAATTATACCAACAAGTGACTTTTTGAAAATCCCGCCCAACGATATAACGAACAATTATTTCATTTACCAACAATAAAACAAGATTTGCACTTTTTTTTTTTAAAATTTGTCAACTAAAATCAGAAGAAATTTAAGAAATCCTGACCGTTTTTCACTCTATTGTCTATGCATATATTTTCTTATATCATTTAAGGAGGAACGTACACAGTGGGGGTGCCTTGCTTTTGTTAATGTGCTGCTCAATTTTAGCTTCTATTTGATACCTTTAATTTTATTTATTTATTTATTTATTTATATACTCATTTTCAATTATACATTCATGCAATAAAATATTCTGTAAGTAAACTCAATTTTTTTCTACTTTTTAATCATACATTCTTTAAAAATTCACTGCTCAAAACATTGTTTTTGGTAAATAATGGCCACCAAACAAGGTTTAGAATGTTGGGTTGTAGGAAAAACTATGGTGTGTTGCATTGTAGACAATTTTTGTCTGTTTATATATTTTATAGTCAATTAATTAATTACACGCGTTTTTAGTGATTCACCATCTCATAATTCAAATTATGATTATCAGGAAAATTTCATTTGTACATAATTATTGTACATAATGGTATTCATAGTGTGATGTGGCAATCATTCGATTGTTGATGTGCAAGTGTAAGATTTGAATTAAAGGTTGGATCCAGTACCACGTATAATTATGGACATTATTATGTAAACAATTATATACATGTAACACTTTCCTGATTATCAATACATATGCCCCCATTTGACCTTATTCTCTTTTATTTTTTTTCTCTTTTTTATTTTCATTCACACAATTTTTTATAAAAATAATATTACACGTAAATTGAAAACTTTTCATTTTTTTTCAATCACACATCCTTCAAAAAAACACTATTCCAAGCATTAAAATTTGGAAAAAAAAATGAGGCCAAACAGGGCATAATATTAAGCCCATGTTTGGGAGAAATTTTCGGAAATGAATTTTTGGACCATTTGTGGGCCCGTGCCGCATTTCTTTGAATTCCTCTGACTGAGGGTTATTTAAAATATTACCAACATACCCTTTGTACTATGGTGAGAATGGGGGTCGAGCTTTGTATGGAGGGGTATCATTGTAAAATCATGTGCATGCATTTATTGTTGTGATAGAATTTTGATTTTGGAATCAATAAATTTTTAGCTAAAAAATAAATTTTTAATGTATTTTTTTTTTAAAATGACGAAATATGTAATTAAAAATTGATAAAATTATAGTTCCATAAAATGTATGGTCAAAAAGAAATTTGAGTTACAAAAAATTTTAGAAAGGGAAAATTCATAAATAAGAGATTAAGTATGTCATATTTCAAAATTAAGAATCCGTTTGTTTTCCATTAATGTAAAAATGTGAATGAAAAATATAGTCATTACGAGCCCCACATAAGAGATAGAAATTCAAATATGGTAGTTTGATACGATGAATAACGGTCATATTTTTCATTTTAATGGCCAAGTAATGGAAAACAAACAAGGGCTAAGAAACAAAGTTTCAAATCTAAAAAATCATATATTTTAAAATTATATTTATAAATTAATTTATTAAATATATATTTTACTAATTAAATATATTGAGGTCACAATTTTATATAAGTTGGTCCCAGTTATTTAATTTAATTAGTCATAGATTAATTTTTATTCACAACTTATCAAATTATTGGTCATAATTTTTTTTTAATTACAAATCAAAAATTTTATAGGTCACAGATTACTTTTTGGTCACGAATCAAAAATTTTATTATCACGATTATTCATCGATCATAGAATCAAAACTTTTATTGGCCACAACTCATTTATTTATTGCAAATTATTAAATTAATTGATCACAATTAACTTTTAGGTTACAACTTAATCAATTGTGTGTCACAATCACTTTTTTAGGTAGCCTATTGTGAATTAACCAATTATTAGTCACAATCAACCAAATAATTCAAGCATCCAAACCCATCTCATCCTAGTCACGACTGCCACAACTACCATCATTATCACCTTTACCAGCACCAGAATCACAAGACCATAATCACCGCCCAAACAACAACAAAACCATCACCTAAAATGTTATAAAAAAGAAAAAAAAATCGCCTAACCACCAACAAACCACCGCCACCATTGCCATTCCAACATACCAGAACCAAAACCAATGCCTGTGCTACCACCATTACTACCTTACACAACCATTGCAGCCATCACTGAATCGCTACTACCACTGTAACCACTACATAGTACGTCCCATTCCATCGTCGTCGCCACCAACAACCACAACCACCCATTATCTTCTTAAGCTCCAATCTGCAACAACCACAACTTGATCGAGCATCACCTATGCCATCCCATACACAAAGTACCTACCATAACCACCACCACCACCACCTCATTGCCAACCATCACACCAACGTCCAATAGATCGAATAAAAAACAAAAAGAATCCTAAAAAGTCTGTCTGCAACGTTCACATTGCTGCCATCACCATTGAACAGCAACATCAGCAGGGACGAAGGCAGTCTGCAACGTTCACATCGCCGTGTTACGGTGCGTCGCAGCAACGACGATGTTGCTTCACATCACTGCGCTGTGACTCGTTGTTGTGACTACGAAGCTCACATCAAATAAGGTTGCTAGAGTGGCATCCAACGACGGTGGTGATCTGAGGGTTGAGAGTCAGCTTGTTGAGAGAATGGAAAGGAGATGAGAGAATATGATTTTAGGGTTTGAAAGGCATAGGTAGATAGGGTAGATGTGTATATATATTAATTTATAATATTATGATTAATATTAAAAATATTGATTTATAATAATTAAATTAATATCTTATTTGTTAATAAGGTTGCTAGAGTGGCATCCAACGACGGTGGTGATCTGAGGGTTGAGAGTCAGCTTGTTGAGAGAATGGAAAGGAGATGAGAGAATATGATTTTAGGGTTTAAAAGGCATAGGTAGATAGGGTAGATGTGTATATATATTAATTTATAATATTATGATTAATATTAAAAATATTGATTTATAATAATTAAATTAATATCTTATTTGTTAAAATAGTAAACTTAGCATAGGATTTATGAAATGGGATCTTTAAAAATAGGCTTTTATATAATTTCCACTTTTAGAAATTAAACGTAGTACACGGGCTGAAATAAATGTCCATGGGCCAATTTAAAGATACGGTCATTTTTTTTATTCATTTTTTCCTAAATTATAGGTCAATTTCCTATTTGAGTATAATCGATTTCTTATATATCATATTTAATGTGTTTTCATCGTCTTTTTATCAATAAATATGAATTATTTATACTTAAGAGTAATGTTATTTAGCACAATTTGTGTTACAACACTAGTCTATGTGTCACTAATGTAGCATAATATTATTTTTTAATGTAAGGATGTATTATGAAAACATAAGATTTTATATTTCTAACGATATTAATTATATTTTCATAATATGTGTAGAAATGAAAGCAACCATATTTTTATGGGACGAATGTGTATAATTATGTACATTTTGTGTCGTTATTGAAAGTGAAAATTTACAAGAGATGAAATTGAGCAAAAATCAACTCTAGAGCCAGTTTCAAAAGAATAAGTGTCACAATAACTATAAGACTACAACTTGATTCGAGACACATGGTCATATATTCTGCCTTGTCTAGGATGGTCCAAATTTCTAATTAGGTGAATTTATATAAAAAAAAAAAAAAAAAATCTATCACTAGAGCAAGTCTTCTTTAGGTCCACGGGTAACAATTGAATTAAAGAACTTATATTGTTATTAAGTCGAAGTTAAGTGATTTCGATTATGCAAATTGAAGTTTAGTAATACAACTGCAATCTAGACGAAAGTTGAAAGATCACTAGTACAATTAACTAAGTCCACATCCACTGTCATGTCAGCAAAATCTATTACGTTGTCTGACATTGCACTTACAAAATGGTTTAATTGCCGTTAATTAAAGTTAAATGACCATGTTGATGCTAATTAAAGTTTAGTGACTTAATTGTAATTTGAGCGAAAGTTTAGTGACTATGGAACAATTATACCGGGGATAAACTGTCTCTTGTCCATTATTCACAGTCTGATTCCCAACTTCCTCTCCATCAGTCCACTCACTCTCCTCAACAATCTTTTAGCGAAAAAAGTATATAAGTCCATCTACGCATTTCATCGAACATTTTCCGTACCAACGGTGATGGAATCTACGCCTGCAATTCATATACGCTGTAATTCTCCAAGAATCCTCCTGTCCTTTATCCTAGGTCCCTGTTTAGTTCTGAGGGATTTTGCTTGAAAGTAATTTTATGTTTTCTTACTTTTATTTTAGATTCCGTCGCATATTGATTGAACAAATGTATCTATAATTTAGATTTTTGCTGCAGGTTCTAATTTAAAATCTGGGAAAGTGTTTTCGTGGAATGCAGCTTGAAATTGCGTTTAACTAGAGGTCCGGCCACTGGGTCGGGAGGATTTTCTGCCAAGCCCCTTGTTAGAAAGCCATGAATGAAGAGGCAAGTTGAATTTCGAAACTTTCATGCAATTATGGTTAGCTTAATGAATGAGTCCAGTTTTAATGTTAATTACGTGGCCATTGCTTTGTTTTCCGTTTTCCCTTGATAAATGATCAGAGCCAGTATATTAAGATGTGCAACTATTGAAGAAATTGAGGCTAAGAAGTCTTTGATTGAGAAAGATGCTGTAAGTTTATGAACTTGATTAGCCATAGATTGCCTTTTGATCCATTTACATTTTTTCACATAGGAGCTTTTACAATAAGCCAATTGTGCTTAATTTTTATTCCTTACATTTTTTTCCCCAGAAAGGAAGGATGGAAAAGACTATTGAAACTTTGAGGTCCGATGTCATGTCCATAAGAACTGGGAGAGCAAATCCAGCAATGCTGGATAAAGTTGAGTCATCATTTAATGTTTGTAGAACGTTAACGTTCAAACTCAGCTTTAATTTTGTGCTGTAGTCTCTCTGAATGCTGTAAACTCCACAACTCAAAACCGGCAAAATAGATTGCTATGCTCATAGATTGATCACAATTGGTGTTAGGTCTAAAAGTGTAATTGGCAATTCTGTGGACAAAACGAGCTAAATTGTATAATTGTAAAAGTCAGGGATTTAATTGAACATTGGTGTAAAAGTCAGAGACTTAGGGTGCAATTTGAATAGATGAGGTAAATTAGTGTTCGAGTCGTTGAAGGAGTCCAAGATGTCCAAGAAGATCACACAAGATCATCGGAATGCAATTGGAAGTCTAAAGGATATTAAAGAACCGCAAAAATTATGTTCCTAATTTTTAGTCATAACTTGCAATGTATTTTTCACATAAAAAACATTGGAATTTGGACAAGGCTATTTTTCGAAGAATTGTAGCCCTCTGAGTTATCTTTCCAATGCAACTTGAATCACCTCAATTGGACATTGAAAGAGAAAGTTATGATGAAAATACTAACGACTGCTCACTGCCGCTCACTTCTCGCTGGTATTTCGCTCGAGCGACACTCCTATGCGTCAAAAACAATATTTCGTGTTTTTGAAGTGTTTTACTCGGTCCATACCACCTAGACACTTTCAAATATAAGTATTCAAGCCCTAGGATGAAATTGAAAAGGTTGCTACATTATTCTTTCATTGCAAAAGATATTCATAACATTTTTGAAGAGATCCAAGGTGCAATTAATTGGAGATTTCATCTACATCAATCTTGTAATCTGGCAATCATTGTTTTGGGTAAAAACATTGAATCTACATAACCCAAAACACCTTACTTCCTTAATCTATTGAGGAAGGGACTCTCTCATTGGAGGATTGAGAGAGGTGGATTGAGGCGCAGTTACAAGCACAAGAACGGACGGTTCTTGGTGTTCCACTTAGTGATACAATCAGCTAAGGACCAGGAGGTTGTAGTGGATAGCAGATTGAACTGCAAGAAGTAGATCAAGAAGTCTAGCAAGAGACTAGAAGTATCTACAACAGTAGATCGTGAGACTGGAACAACAGGTCGGATTGGGTACGGAGTTTGGTATAACTTGTACTTGCCGAATTGGTATAGTGGAAGTAACTGGTTTGGTCCCAAAGTTTTACCCATGTTGGGATTTCTTCGTCATCATATTGTTTGTTATTTACTGCTTTGCATAATATACAAACTGTGGCATTGCAATATAGGTTAATTAACTTGTATGATTAATCACCTAGACAACTAATTAAAGTGACTTGTTGCTTCAATTAGATTAATTCCGCACGTAAAGTCAAATTGGTTAAAATAAAATTTAGAACGTAAACTTGGTAACGCATAAAATTTGAACTTGATACTGTATCACGTTAGTCGAACTTTCTAGCATAGTGAAGTGTGTTCTAAAGCAGAAATGTAAGGTGGTTGGTATCTGCAGCTTTCATTCGTCCAATCTATGAAGCTCCTCGTGTCCGAAGTTTGACAAGAGACAGTTAAGTTCAAAGAGAGAGATTTGGTGCACTGTTTGTCGGCCACAAGAACAAAATCCAAAGATTTTGTTGTTTGACAATAAAAAGGTTGTAGGTGCCAAAAATAGCATAATTTTAAGACTTCTTGTTCGCCTATATTCTTTAAAGCGGTCACATTGAGCTTCATGATGTTTTGAAATGAAGCTATGTAGAATGACTTACGACCTAAAACTTGATAATAAGTCGCTGAACACTATGAGACTCTTAGTGAATTCATGCATCCCTGAATGAATTACAACCTAAATTTAGTTTTTATAATATGGATTTGAACGTTGGCATCTTTAGTTTTTTAAAGACTGACCTTTCTGCTACTTCCCTTTCCTAGGTTGAGTACTATGGAACACCTGTGACCTTGAAGAGCATAGCTCAAATCAGTACTCCTGAATCCCTATGCAAGTTCTCTCATGGTGCAACCTTATGACAAATCCAGGAATGGTGCTCTTGCTACAAGGAGAGCAAAATTTGAGTTTATGCTGACAATCAGTAGCTGTGATTTGGCTTTTTAGCCATTAAGATTTCAACTGGTTTATGGGCTAGGGTATATCAAAAAGTGGCTTTGTTTCATTTTTCATTTTTAGAAAACAAGCTTATGTGGTAAAAGGAATGGTTATTGGCATGTGAATGGAATTTGTTGAAATGTCTCTGATTTTGAGAACTACACTTATGAAATTAGAGCTAGAACTATTAATTATATCACGACATTTCTATTGGTTAGACATTTTTAATGTTTGGATATTTCAAAAATTGCATCTCTGTCATTTGTTATAAAAATTGTACTTACATGTATACATTATTTGGTGGTCCAATCTTGTATTTGATCATTTTCAGCTTGAAGGCTAAGGAATAGGCGATTGTTAGCTCTAACCTTGGTTTGATACCAAATAATGATGGAGAAGTTATTAGATTGGCCCTCCGTTTGACACCAAATAATGATGGATAAGTTATTAGATTTACCCTCGCTCAACTGACATCAGAAAGGAGGAAGGTGCTTTTTGATCTAATGCTTAGTGAAGTGTGTTCTAAAGCCCATCTACAGTATCTGACTTTCGTTTTCGGTTACTTTTGATGATGTTCTATGACAATTTTGTTTAACTGGGTATTAATGATATATCATTTGTGTTGGAAATTTATTTATCATGTGTAGTGAAAAATAACAGATTTCAATTCCCATTAAGGATCTACTTCGTGTTTAGATAGAAACTGTACCTTTTGCGAAATCTGTAAACTCGTTTGCTTTTCTTTTATTCCAGCAACCTTGATTTTGTCAATGGGTTGTCATACGTGTTTATTTCTCCAAATAGGAGGTTTGATTACATTTCCATAATTAAGGGATTTGATTGGACATTATTTTATCATTTCTAGTACAGGAGATTTCTTTTTAAATTACCATAATTTAGAAGCTGTAATTCTTCTATTTAAAGGAACGAAAGAACCTCAATTGAGGTATTTGAACCAAATCACGTTATTGTCATGGTATCAGAGCCATCAAATTAAAAGAAACTTCTTTGATTTTTTTTAGCACTTGGAGTTATCGAGGATCAATTTTTTGGTCTAACGACAATTATTCTTGATTCAAGTACTCAACTTGTTTGGTTTTTGTTGTCGGTAGCATCTGGGTTACCACCAGTTAAGTGTCTTCATCTTGGGGTTGTTGATCTTCTTGTGAACTCCAATTCGATTTCTGTCTGACATCTCCGGTCGAAATCTGGTGGGAATTTTGTCTGACAATTCGATTGTGGGCTATTGACGATCTTGGTGTGTGATAAATTGTGGACTTGTTGACATTTTCAGTTCTTGCTATCGGTGTTCTGTGTTCTTGGTGGTCGGCGATTTCGCTTGTTCAGTGGTGTCCCGAAGGTTGGACGTTGTGAATTTGTTTTGGGAATTTCCATTTAAGAAGTGAATAATTTAGTTGGGACGTGAGTTGGGCCTTTAAATTCTCCGTTGGGCTATTGTTTTTTTCTTTTATTTGATGATTATTAATCTTCAAGTTATCATATCTGGAGAAAATTCAATTGTTCGTTTTAATGGCAAAAATCACTCCACTTGGGAATTTCAATTTAGGATGTTTGTTAAGGTTAAGGAATTATGAGACCATGTGGATGGGTCATTTCCAGTTCCTACAGATCCCAAGGAGCGTAATTCATGGGAAAGCAAGGATGCTCGAATTATTTCTTGGCTACTAAGTTCTATTGAACCACATATGGTTAATAATCTCCGTTCGTTCACAACTGCTAAAGAGATGTGGGATTACCTTCTCCAGATTTATTGTCAAGATAATTCTGCTAGAAAATTTCAATTGGAGATGGATATTGGAAATTATCAACAAGAAAATTTATCAATTGAAAATTTTATATAAATTTTATTCAGGCTTTCTTAATTTATGGAGTGATTATTCCGGGTTGGTGCAATCTAAGGTTCCGAAGGATGCTTTAACGGTATTGCAAAAGGTTCATTCTTAAAGCCAACACGATCAATTTTTGATGAAGCTACGACCTGAGTTTGAGAGTGCACAAGTTGGATTAATCAATCGCAACACTGTATCGTCTTTAGATGTCTGCTTGGGGAAACTCTTACGTGAGGAACAATGTCTCGCTTCACAATCTGGGATCACTAAAGACACTGTTCATACTGAGATGGTCAATGTCACCTATGCAGCTCAAGGGAAAGGAAAATCCAAATATTCGCCACAATGTTACAGTTGCAAAGAATTTGGACACGTTGCAAAACATTGCAACAAGAAGTTTTGTAATTACTGCAAAAAGGAGGGCCATATTATCAAGGATTGTCGTGTGCGACCTCTGAATCGATTAACTCCTGCCTTCCATACTGCTGTTCAACCCAACTGTGTGCCTACATCTTTAGATCAATTGGGTATCCTAAGTTCTTCTTCGACTCTTACACTTGAACATGTTCAACAAATGATTATTTCTGCTCTCTCGACTTTTGGGCTCCAAGGTAAGAAAAATCTAGTTACCTCTCCTTGGTTAATTGACTTACCGACTTCTAATCATATGACTCGCAATTCAAAAACTCTACATAATGTTCGTAAGTATGATGGTGAACAACATATCTGGATAGCCAATGACAATACTCTTCTAATTACTGCAGTTGGAAATTTGGGTTCTTCCTTCAAAGATGTTTTTGTCTCTCCTAATTTATCTGCCAATTTAATTTCAGTTGGACAATTGGTTGAAGATAACTGTGCACTTTATTTTGATTGTAACAGTGGTTGTGTGCAGGATAAAGAGTCGGGACAAGTGATAGCGAAGGGGCCTAAAGTGGGACGTCTCTTCCTTCTTCAGTCATTTTCAATTCCTCATTCTATTCATGTTGGTTATTCTACTGTTGTTGCTACTAGCCATTTATGGCATAAGAAATTAGGATACCCAAACTCTGTTATTTTGACACATTTAATAAAACATGGTTATTTGAGGAATATGAATGAATTTTCTTCATCACATTTGTCTTTTGCTTGTGCATCTTGTAAACTTGGTAAAAGCAAATCCTTGCCATTTCCTTTACGAGGTAGTCGAGCTTTTAGGTGTTTTGAGATTATTCATACAGATGTTTGGGGTATTAGTCCTGTGCTTTCTCATACCCAGTACAGGTACTTTGTGACATTCATTGATGATTATAGTAGATTCACTTGAGTCTATTTTCTTCGATCTAAAGCTGAGGTATTTTCTACGTTCTAAAACTTTGTTGCCTATGTAGAAACACAATTTTCAACATGTATTAAGATTTTGCTCTCTGATTCTGGTGGAGAATATGTCCCGTGATTTTTAATCTTTCCTACAACAGAAGGGCATTCTTTTACAGTGT